TTCTCGACTATTAATTTGAATTATTTCTAAGAAAACTTGTTATTGCTGGAATGAGTTTAAATATATTAGGTACAATCATTACTAATTCAGTAGTTTATTAACTCTTTATAGGGCAACTTACCGGTTTTGATCACTTGCACACCCTTTACAAATACACCCCCCCCCCAGTGAGGTCTAGAAGCACAAGATCTATATCCATCCATTCAGCAAAGAGCAAAGATGCTGCTACCTGACCCTTAAATGATTTATTACCAACTGTAAAGTTAAAAAAAGGTCAACAGGTCAAGAAACAAGGTAAAAAGTTAATTGAAAAGTTAAAAATTTAAGTGAAAAAGTTAATAAGTCTAGTTAACAATTAGATTTAAGTTTATAAACTAAAAAATGTCAGTGTCAATATCAGCATTAAAGCCTCTAAGGTTATGTTGGATCAAAAGAAAGTGTTTTTCATGAATTTCTTATAGAAGAACTTTTGTTATTTTTCTTAATATATTCAGAAAGTTGGCGTTTCTTGTTATTTTATTGACATTTATTACCATCAAAATATGCAGATTTTTTAATGTTACACAGGTTATACGGTTTTTTCCTGGATTCCAAGAACACTGCTGGCTTTTTTTTATTTTCAAAGTATTTAAGTGCCTTATAAAGGGTTAAAAGATCTTAAACAAGAAAAAACTGTTTTTTTTTTGTTTTTTTTAATGTTCACTTATAAATGAATCCGTTTGATCGATAAATTGATGAATCACCTCATTAATGTATAACTTTCATCTGTAGCTTTAACTTTAGGTTATGAAGTCACTTCCTGACATGAAGATCTGGAAAAACCTCCTTATTAAAGATTATTTTATTATTTCTTTCAAAGTGTGAAGAGCAGCTAACGCTCTGCTGGCAGACGCCATAAATGTGGAGCCGCTGACTGTTTGTCTTGTCCTGCTTGGTGTCTGTTTGCAATAAACTCTCTAAGTTTGGTGGTTTTAATCAGAATGACTAAAACTTCCCAGCAGCTCCTTTCTTTACCTGGTCGTATTCAGAGGAAGACACGAGGAAGAGGATGGAGGTGACCGAGTCGAAGCACTCGAACCAGCGTCTCCGCTCTGACCGCTGCCCCCCGACGTCCACCATCTTGAAGGGAACGTTCTTGATCTCAAAGTCATACTCGTGGATGCCCTTGGTGGGCTTACGGGCCAGCAGGATGTCCTGTTGGCTGGGCAGATAATCCTGCAGAGCAAAACATCACATTCAAAACCTGATCTGAGATAGAGAGAAAATAAACAGCAACTAAAATCTGCAGAAACACCAAACATCTCATTTAACTTGGAATTAAGGATCAGGTTTTCAGTGAAAACAGGATTTTCTAGAAAGCAGGAGGCTGCTGTGGTTCTGGGAGTCGTTCGGTTTGGGAAAGATCCATCGGATCGGCTCAGAAAAAAAATATCTACGGTAAATCAATTCATGAAAGATTTTCTTCTTCTGGGAAAAAATAAATCTAAATAGACTCCAAACAACAGAAACATTTCTACAGAGTAAAAGATATAGAGATAGAGTGGATAGATAGACGGAGATATAGAAAGATAGAGATAGATTGATAGAGATAGATTGATAGAGATAGATTGATAGAGATAGATTGATAGAGATAGAGATAGATTGATAGAGAGAGATAGAGATAGATTGATAGAGAT